GTGCTGGCTTACCTATTAGCCTATTTACACACTTTGGTTTATTTCTCCAGTAGACTCCGAGGAAAAACACTGGCACTCCAGTTAAAATGATAATGAGTCCAACCCCGCAGACGACAGGCTCTGAGTATAAGCTGAAGATCAGCAGAAATGCCCAAAACGCCAGGTAAGTGATGGGGATGAGGAGGTTCACCTACCAGGAGAGAGCAGAGCAGAGCACGACTGTGCAGAGCAACAGCAGTGGCTGACTGGCTGTGGTGGGCTTGCAGGCAGTGCTGTGGCTTCAGGACCCCCCATATGTTGTGTGGTGCCCTCTACCACTGTTTTCCTCTCTGCCCACCCCAACAAGTTCACAAGAACTTGTGTATCCCCCTTTTGCACTTGTGGCACTCTGGGGCATGCTTTGGGACCTTAAAACATTAACGTTACTCCAAAAAAACCCAAACCTGTTATTCAAAACAGTGCAGTGGAGGGTTTGGTGTTCCCATCCCACCCTTTGCATCACTACTGCAACCAAGAAATTTATCATTAACAGTGTCACCTTGATAGGTCTGAAGATTTTGGGTTTCCTCCAGCGTAGGACGATCAGGCCTATAATTGTCACTCCATAGCAGAGGTAGTTAATGAAGGACACGTAGTTGATTAGTGTGTAGGTGTCTCCAACAAGCATGATGATAAGAGTGGCCAAACACTGCAAAGAGAGGAGCAGAGCCTTCCTGAGCCATTACTAGAAAAGGTAGCTTAAAAACAACAAACCCAAGCAAAAATCCCATGAAAGCTTTAAAACTCCTTTTGTCCATGGCCCCTGCTGGGCATCTGCTGCCTCCTGTGGCTCGGTGCATTATCCCTGAGCTGTGCCAATGGGGCTGAATGAGGATTTGGGGTTATTTGGGGCATGCTGAAGCCAGGCACCAGAGGGTTTGTTTATAAATACCCTGGGGTGCTGGCAGAGGTGTCTCTGCTGCCCATGGCTGGGCTGGGAGGACTGGCAGAGCTCTCACCCCACCCATTTCTGTTAAGTGTTTCAAAAGCTGTTGAGCCCTGGGGCGAGGACTCCAGGTGAAAATATTTCTTGCAGACTTCAGGTGTTCTGTTCAGGGGATTGTGGTGTTGTTGTGGCCTTTGGATTACAAAGGATTAGAGGTTTGTGTCGCAGCCGATCGGGGCCATCAATCTTTTGAGCATTATTTGTGTTTGGCAACCGGCAGATGGATGGTAGAAATTTCCATATTTACACTCGCCTTTTTAAATTCTGAGTCTGCCTACTGCTGTAGAGCTTGGAAAGCTGTCCTGGGGGCCAGGGTGCTGATCCTTTAGTCTCCCACCCAGGGGCTGAGCTGAGCCCTCACCTGCACCACAGACCAGTCCAGTGAACACTGTCTGCTCAGAGCCTGGGGGGAAACCAAACATCCAAACCCCGCCAGAGAGCACTCAGGATTTTGTTTGTCTGATTTATTCCAGGCTCTCTTTTTGTTTATGTCCTTTTTCTTAATTAGCTGTTTCCATAACAAAGTCCTCCCAGGAGGGAAGGCTTCTGCACCAGCAGCACCAGGAATTGAGCCCCACCACAACCAAATGGCCCTTTGGTCCCACTGTTCCCCTGTTCAAAGCCCGGCAGGCTTGGCTGGGGGATTTCAACACCTTGAGCGGTCTCACCACAAAATGGGTTTAAAATTGGACACAGTGTCACACTGGTGTCATTAACATGGTCTCTGCTGTCCCCGACACCGGGTCACACACGTGTGCAACCTTCTGCTGCCACTGAAGGGCACAAGGTGCCATGTGAGGGTGACACTGATGTGTCACATCTGCTCACGGTGTGGGGGTGTGCTGCCCTCCCACAGCCTGGCCACGGCCACGTGGGGCCAGCCGCTCCCCACTGCCTTGCAGGAAAAAAACACCCCACTCTGTTTATTTTACGTTTAGCTCGGCCCCTCGGTTTTTGGAAGTAAAACAGTAAATAAATAAAAACGAAGGGCTCACTGGTGATGTTAAAGCAGCCTTTTTCCATGTGCAGAGGAACCTTTCTCCGTGCAGGGAGCCAGGTGTGTTTCACTGGGAGAGAAAAGGAGCCTGATGTGTTAATTAGGTTTGCCTAAAGTCCAGCCCTGTTTTCTCCTGTAGCAAAGGGTGAATCGATGTGCTGAGCTCCCTCTGGGATTTGCGTCGTGATTAGAGGGAGTGGTTGGAGCAGAGCAGGGGGCTGTGCCTGATGGATTGCTCAGCTCACCCTGGTCAGGGCTGTTCTGCAGTGAGTCCTCTGGGACTCAGTGTTATCATTTCAGCCCGAGGATTTTTAAGGACAAAGGAGTTCTGCTCCGTGCAGCACAGCTACCCATCGGGATCCCCTGGTGCCCTGGGGCAGGGCAGGCAGGGGCAGTGTATCCCAAACTCCCAACAAGCAACAGCAAGATGTTTGTGAAGGGGCTCTAAACCCGGGAATGCTGTAAAGCTTCAGCAAGATGTGCATTTTCTCATAGAATGGGAATGTCCAGGAGGCTTATTTGGTGAAATTTTGCATGGGTGTATTGTGCCAGAATTGCTGTTAGAGCCAGAAGGCATGTAACCATGAATCTTCTGAGTGCATCTGGGGTGGTTTTGATACCAATGGCAAATTTGGAGTTGGCAGCCATTGGTGCAGCCAAGATTGCAAGCGAATGCCCTTTGGGGAATTCCCTGCAGCCAGGGACAACAGCTTTGGGAATCATTTTCCTCTTTACCCTCTCCTATGCCCACGATATAAAACCCATCACATGTTCTAGCTTCGCTGCTGGTAAAAGAATATGAAGATCTTTGTTTCAAACAATAACTTCTGTAAGTCATTAGTACTGTGGAAATTCACACTGTCTAAAGAGTGAGAGAAACCTTCCTCCCACAGGAGCACACCAGCAACTGGACCATGGCTGTCTGATCCTTGCAGGTGACCTGATGCCTGCTTGATGTACCATTGAGCAGATGCATTATTCAGGGACACTGTAAAATTTTTTGGCCCATGGAAAAGAAATGTCCATGTCCCTCAGCCTGATCACCCCTCACAGGATGTTCTGGCTGTTGAGAGTGAGTAATTTTAGGAGCACTTTGTCTGCTCCCTGGGATCCACCATGCCTCTGGATTTGGTGGCAGGATCTAGAGCAGCCCTGCCTGAGTGGAGTTAGCAGGGACCATGGGGCTTTCCAAATGCTTGTGGAAAGCAGGCAAAATCGTCTAAGGAGCTCATCTTCCCTTAAATGAAGTAGCTCTGTTTCAAAAGCCAGTCCCTATCCCTGCTGCAGGTAGGACAAGAGGTAAGGAGCTTACACTGCAGCTCAGGTGTGAGGGAAGCTCTGCAGGTGTCAGGGGGGTTGGGAGGAGGGATTATTTCCCAGGCCAAAGGCTGCTTCTCTCTGGAGCATTTGGAGCTGCCCAGCTGGCACAAACCAGCAGCACTTCAGCCCTGCTCGCTTCTCCTCTTCTGGGGTAAAATGGGCTCTCCGGGGTTTTTCCAGCTCTCCTCTCTGTGATTCAGTGTTTCCAAAAGCAGGTTACACAGTGGCAGAGCAGGGGTGGCACTTACACAGAGGAGAAGGGCAGGAATGGGCGTGCAGTTCTTGACATGGATCATGGCAAGCAAACTCGGCAGATGGCCTTCCCGGGCACCAGAGAAACACAACCTGCAAGGAAGAAGAGTAATAATGAACCCACTGGATGTGTGTGCAACAGGCTCTCCAGTCCTTAGCCATGTAACACCTCATCTCCTCCCACAGTGGCTGAACTGGGGAGACAACTAGAGACTGCCTGAGTCACCTGGAGAAAGGTGTTCAAACTAGAGCCTTCAGCTAATGTTACCTGTGAAATGATGTGCTGAAATATCTCTGAAAGCTGCCCAGTCCCTGCCTTGCTGGCCAGTGCTGCCTCTTTACCCAGGGAGGGATGAGTACTCTGAAGGTTGTGTGGATATTTCCAGTGTCAGAAGGGTTTTGGGTAAGGTGGAACGCCCCTAAACATTTTAAGTGCACTTGTAACACATGCTCTAAGATTTGCTGCATCTCATTATACTCATGAAAGTGCTGAGATAAATAACTTCCCCAAGGTACTTGAGTTGCTTCATCAAAAAAACACCATAATAAAACATTATAACTTTTAAATTAGATTTCAGAGAGGTCAGTTATTACAAATAGACTTTACTGACTGCAGTCTAACAGACTGTATAGATTCTGGTCCCACTACCAGCAGTATGCATGCAAAGCATCTTGCCTCCAAGTTTTTCCAGCATGAGTGTGAAAATTGCCTGTAACTGGGAACAGCACCAGGCCCTAAAACTCTTCTTTGAGCTAAGCACAGTTCAGTTTGTAGCTACTGGAACTTTACTGATGTAAAATTACTTTGGTTCCACGCTAAAGCTGTGTTTGGCTCTTACTGTGAATTATTCCACATCTGCAGTCACCTCCAGTAACTCACATAGATTAGTTTGCAAGAGATTTCATGACTCAATATTACATTGGCTGGTTTGAAACAGAGCAATTCATAACTGATTGTATCCAAACGCCCAACAATGACCTCGTGCTCTACAACATCCAAAATTAGCTAGCATTTCTTTAGCAAAGGAAATTAAAACAGCCCCTCCCCAAATCAGATAACGTTCATAAAATTGTACTCCATCTAACCTTGATGAGGTAAAAAGGTATCCATTTATTCCTCCAAATGTAGATAGGGCCACTGAGACTGGCATAACCCAGGAAAAATAGCCCAGTAACTTTTCACCAAATGTCTAAAGCAACAGAAGGCAAAGAAACTGAAATACACTGCAAAGCACAGAACCGAAATCAAGGTGTGTTTGAGACATCCAGGGAATGGTTTACTTACTACCGCCACAGCGTTGGAGGACAAGAGCTCTTGGGGTGACATGGCAGTGAAATAGGCAATGTTGGTGAACGTATACACAAATGTCACCAATGGGATGGATATGAATATGGCACGAGGTAGGTTCCTAATAAAAGAATTGGGAGGGTAGATAAGCAACGACAGTCACGCACAGAGAGATCACAACAACCGTGTAGGGCCCTGGGGGAGCTCACCCAGCTGAGCCTGGCTGGGTTTGGGTTCAGGGGGGGGGTTCTCTGGAGGAGTTTCCCTGCTTTCCAGGGGCTCTCTGACCCACTGAATGGTGGAGAAGGCTGAAAGTGCTGCACAATGCCTTGTCTGCAGGGAGAGCCCTGGGACAAACAGACCACGAGCGCCCTTTGGGCTGGGACTGGGACAGCCTGTTACTGAAAAACGAAACAGCCATTTCCCAAAAGTCTTGGGACTTTTGCCTTAAATGCCTTGCTTTGCTTCACCTTCACCTGCTCTGAAAAAGAAGGGGGTTCCGTTGTTCAGCTGCTGCCTTGGCCCATCGTGTGCCATAAACCTGCTCTGGTCAGTGCAATAATGTGGCAACTTGCAGCACTACAGCTGTACCTGATCTCCAGTCCAGAGACCTCCTCAGAGGTGGGCACCTGGACTGGTCTGCATCTAGCAAAATAATGCAGTTTTTCTCTGTATGTCAGATTTAGAAAAAAGGTTTTAAAAAGCATATTTAACCTTTGTGATTTTGAACAGAAGATTTAGTAAAAGTGGGAAGTAGTTTTGGTTATCCAATTTTTTGTTAATGTATTTTAATTTTTCCCCTCAGAGGCTGCAAAAACAATTTAAAAAAAAAAAAAGAGGCCATTTGTTCCATTTTCCCTTTATTTCTCAACTAAGGTTGTATTTACCTTGTTCGAGTCATAACTTACTATTATTCAGCTTTGAAATTGTGGCTGTCCATTAAAATGTTGTTTATTAAAATAACACGTTACCACACTTTCTTTGTTTCTGCCAAGATCTCTGGACATGCATTTTGCCACTCACTGGTGTGCAGGGCCATTCTAAGGCTGCAGCTTTAAGTAATTTCTGTCTGGGCTGTGTAGTAGCTTGAATTCCTCCTTGTTTAATTGCTGTTGTGCATTGGATGCCCAGAAATAACTAACACTCCAAGAGCTGCTCTTGGCATTTGTCATTCCACTTCATCAGTTCAGAAATGTTGGAACACTTGAGCTTTGCTAAAACTGAGTTCCCTTTCCCTCCAGCCATCCCAACCTGCTTGTGAGGAATCATTTCCAAGCCCCTTCCCACACCCAGGACCAGCAGTGACCTGGTGCCCTGGGACTGTTGTTTTCACTGCACAACCGATCTGCTCTTTCAGGTGGCTGTGGGAGACCCCCCTTTGGGTGAAAAAGCAAAGCAACTTCCAGGATAATTTGACATTTTTCTAATAAAGGTGGTTCTCCCAGTAAATGCTTGTGTGGTGTCTCCTCAATGGTTAATTTTCTGCTGTGGAAGCTCTGTGCGATTGAGCAGTGCCATAAAGATGCTGCTTTGTCTATAGGTTGCCTGGATGCCATGTATTTTTAACTCCAATGTTTCTGGAGCTTGCCTGCTATCTGTTCTAAAGAAAAATCATTCTCCTTCAGAAGGACCAGTCCCACAGACACGGGATGACAGCATCTCATGAAATGAATAATTCTACCAGATGGCTCCAGTCCTCGGCACTCCGAGGAAATGTGGATGGCATGGAAATGGATACTTGCCTGCGGGGATCAACCAGCTCCTCTGTCACGTAGTTCAGGAAGTTCCAGCCACTGAAAGCAAAGGACCCCTGCAGAAAAGCTAAAGCTAAATGCCCCACGGAGGGAGTCATCCAAAAATTGAACGCGTTGCTTGGTGTCAGCTCTTTGTAGTTTCCTGCACAGAGAGCGCAAGCGAGAGGTTAAGCCACCCCTACCTACCAGAGACACTGGAAAACAGGTTAACTTTTGCTTTTTATTCTTTATTCCTTATTAGAGTGGAGACTTCATGCTCTTCCTGTCACCCCGTGGGCTGGCACTGCCCTGGCAGTGCTTTCTGCAGGATGGTTTGGGCATCTTGTCACCACTCAGGGGACCCTCCACAGCCTGCCCTGCCTGAGGGTGGCTCCTTGGCAGGGTAAATTCCTGCCTGTTCTCAGTGCAGTTCTCTTTTACAAGAGCTTGGTGTGGTTTAGTAGAAATATTTGAAAATAAAATGTCTGTGGGGCTGGAAGACCTGTCAAGATTGTAGGACTGTTACCACCGAGAAAACAAGGATTTTTGCTCTCTGTAGATTTCTTCTACCCTTATATGACTCACCATATACAAATAAAAACCTTGTAAGTCTTTCGTGCTTTCTGCTTTTCATTAAGTGGTGAATCAGTGAGACTTTTTTTTTTTGCCTATGTTTAATCTTAAACGTGACTTTTTTTAGGGAATTAGACTAGTGCCTGGAATGAAGCAGGTATCTTCCTGCCCTGGGCAAGGCATTGCTTATTCTTTTTACATCCAGAGCACTTCAAATTCAAGGAATACACAACAGATTAAAAAAAAATAAGTAACTATCCTGAAACACCCTCAGCTGCTCTCCCTTATTCTATCGAATCCCATGAGGTGGGCTGGAAAGGGGCTTTTTTAAGCGGATACAGCTGATTTTTCCCCGTTTCAACGTTCCATCCTTTCCACAGCCCTGTGAGTGCACAGCCCTGCAGCTCAGCTACATCCAGCACACCTTCAGGTCGGTTTGTAAGGGGGAAACAGTGCAGTAAGTGGGAAGAAATCAAGTCTGTCAACAGTACCATACCCGTGTTAGAGCTGTCTCACAGAGTACCTTTAAAGATCTGTATGAAGCCCACAATAATGATAAGGGTCAGGGCTAAGAGTTTTCCTGCTGTAAATATATCCTGAATGCGCGTTGCCCATCGCACGCTGGAGCTGTTCACCCAGGTCAGGAGAACTGGAGAGCAAAAGACTGAATTCAGTGACAGGGAATTCATGTTTATTTAAGAACATACAGCATTGCAAAACACAGACTGGTGAGCGTGTTCCTGCAGGGAGCTCTAGCGTGGCCGGGCACGAGGGTGAGGAGGAGCTTTGCCTTTCCCCGGGAGACTCCCAGCTGTGGGAGCCGTGAGCCTTCACTCCTCGAGTTCTGCCAGTCAGGGCTCTCCCCAGCTCCAATAACTGTGCCTGAGTCGTGCTCAGCGTGCTGGGATCATCCCCTCCTCACAGGAGCAGTGAACATCTTCAGTCCTGCAGCTCGGGTTTGCTTTTGCAGCTCTGTGAGTGACTGACACAGCGTGCTGCACTGCCTGCACACTCACGTTTGGGAAGGTGAAAGAAGACCAGGAATGGCTCAGAGGTGGTGGGTCAGCTGTGCCATCAGCTGTGCCAGGAGCCCGTGGCTCCGCAGGGAGCACAGCACTGTCCCATCCCACACGCTCACCTGCTGCCACTTTCCCTGGCACCCACCGGGATCTGGTGCCGCTGTGCCTCACTCCAGACCACCGTGCTTGCTGCAGGCAGGGGGGAAGGGATGTAACATCCCACAGCAGCCACGGTGCCTGTCCTGGGACCTCCCCACTGGCCTTTGGAGCTGTGGCCGTGCCCCCAGCCTGGCGGGAGCAGCTCCTCGAGTGGCCCCTTGTGAAACCCAGTCAAGCTTTGTGTGTTTGTGTGTGTGTGAGAAGCAAATACTCACGTAAACACACCATGGAGAGGATCCTGGAGGCATTATAGGGGGGGATACAGTTAGGGAAGACGGGCTGCAGGACATAGTTTGAGAAGGTCAGGGCTATGACAGCCAGACTGGTTGGGTACATGATAAGCACGGCGCTCCACAGCAGCAGGAACCTGGAAAGACAAGGAAAAGCACAAAAAGCGGCGCTGGGGCTGTGCTGCTGGAGGGAACACACGCCCAGCTCTGCAGCACTTCAGCTCCCGAGGCACCAGGGCTGAGCACCCTCATCCTGGTCACACCTAAAACAGCCCCCTACTTGTGATTCCCCTCACCCCCTTTCTCGCGTCCTCAGCACGATCTGGATTTTAAACGAACCATTGTAAAGCAAAGCTCGGGTTACGAATGTGTGAAAGAGCGAGGATTGCGCCCAGCAGGCATGCTTTGATTTAAAGCTGCGTGTCTGAAGGAAAGCAGCTCTGTTGCTCCTGGGCTGACACGTCCCTGCATCGAAGGCAGCTCGGAGGGGTTTTGGCAGGACCTCCAGTCACAGGCTGGGTTTCTTGTCACCATTCGTGTTGGCTCTGTGACCTGGGCCAGGGCAGAGCAGTGTGCAGTGTTCTGTGATGGATCCCTCAGCTGGGGTGCAATGACTCTGCTCTCTGCCTCCAGCTGTGGCTTAAGGGGATTGCAAGGTGTTCGTGCAAATATAAAGCGTGACAAATTTTGGCTTCTCATCCTGGGAAGAGGAGAAGAAAGTCCCAAAGGCAGCAAGGGATCTGGTTAGTGCTTTAAAACATTTGAAACATCGTTATTTCTGCGGTGAGAAGTAGTCATGGCAAGAAAGTGAAGTCCTTCTTGCCATGTAATGCAGACACAGATACACTCACAGTCATTCACTCACACACGTGCACAAATGTAACATACAGGGTGCCCAGCACAAATGAGGATTTGAAATGTTATTTCCAAATAAGACAGGATAATTTCCATATTATGCAAGTTGCTCTTTAAAAGGCTGCACCCACCCAGTGTGTTTCCTGCTGCCAGCCCCATAAATGTGGCACAGCTGAGGGGACCCCTCCCCCTGTCATTAACCGGGAGGGATGGAGTGCTGCTTGTTGGAGTCTCCTCAGCCAGAGTGGTGAGTGTCTCTCAGTCTCATCCTTTACTTTGCCTTGTTGTTTCTCAGGAATATGGGACAATTATTAGCTACCAGAGTTAATTTGGTAAACTGGACTGATACAAGATCTGGGTACCTTCCCACCTGGCACTGTTGTTTTTTATGGTAGACTAGGTGGGGTTTTTTCTTTCTTTATTTTGTTGTGTTGCTCCTTTTCTTTTCCCCTATTTCTGAAATTATTTTATTGAGGTTCAGAACAGTTTTCTCCAGTGATCACTTTGTGCTGTCTGGTGGTGTGGGTGATGTGCCCAGTTTGGGGTGTCTCTGCAGACCCTGCTTGCTGTGTGGGTTAACTCAACAGGTCCTCACTGAAGAATAAACAGGGCCTAAAGACTGCAATAACAATTTGCTGATAGGGTTTGGGGACTGGTGGTGCTGAGTGAGGTCAGGTTGGGGTGTGCAGGCAGGTAAGGAGCCAGAGGCCCAGCCAGCAGGCAGTGGCTGTACCTGACTTAAATTGCTTCTGGGGAGATGGCATTTGCTGGAGACAGGCAGATGTCACCATGGCACACCTGGAATTACTTTGCCTGGGTCTTCAAGTGGAAAGTGGGGGAATTACTGCCCTGAGGGGGTTGGGAGTTGAACAACTGAACCTGTCAGCTGAACCTGACAGCCTTTCACAGTTACCCAGTAGTTGTGTTTACAAGAACCTGAGAAGTTATATCTTGTCTTGCTGCTGACTAAGAATTGATCAGGTCTTTAGAAACAGGCTTGAGAGAGATGGATGCAGAGAAAAAGGTGCAACTGCTCTTGTTTGGTTGGTATTGGTTTTTTGTTTGTTTGTTTGAGTTTTTTCCTGAACATTAGAGTTTGCATGAGAAATCTGGGCTCCTGCACGTGCTGCTGGTGGTGGTGGTGAGCGAGCTGGTAAATTAACCTCTCTGCCTGTATTCTGAACAAACCATAGTTGTGAGTAGCAAGCCTCAATAGCTGCTGGCTGGCTGGCCTCTGCTGTTGTTGAGTCTGATCCAAAGTTCATTGAAGTTAATGGTTATTCTCCTATCAGCGTGTTTATGTGTGAGATAACGTCCTTAATTAGAGCTCCGCCCCCACATTTTAGGAACAGGCTGGAATAAGTGACAATCTGTGGTGCAGGGGGCTGATTTTGGGAAGGTGTGGCATTCATGGGAAGTGCCAGTCATCCAAAACTCAGTTTTTTTGCAGATATCTCTGCATACTAATTTCCTCACCTGGGGAAAGAAATAAACAGCGTAGTTTGATCTGGGTCTTTAATAGTCTAGTGGACTTGGTGAAATCGATTCTCCAACATGACTTTGGTATGTGCCTCTATTCCCATGAGGATCTTGCTTTAGGTATAAAATGTTATAGAGTAAAAGCAGCCTATGAAAAGATGAAATTTGAGTGTGCCCTGCTTGTGCATCATTAGCAAAATAAAACAGTTAGAAACAGATGCTGTGGCACAGCTCACTTTATCACAGGAAAACCAGAACTGCTTTAAGAAAGGTGGAGCTAGTTTGAACACTGTTAATGCTATTCTATTTGCTGAAAGATTTACTGCCTCTGGAAGCTTCAGATTTTTGCAATAACAACAAGGAAACATGGCATTATACTTGAAGCATGTTACACTTGCACTTAAGAGCGACACTTAGCAAAACTCTGGCTGAAAACTCTCTGCTGCCTGATTTTGGGAGGGACATATGCCCAGCCACCCCTCTCTGCTGGTGAAGCAGCTGTGTTAGCTGCAACCTCACTGCTGAGCTTTTAGAAGGAGCTGTGTTGTCAGAAACGCACTGGAGGGCTTTTCATGAAGCTGAGTTTATTCATTGTCTTCTGCAAGAAGACATATCGAGCCTTTTAATTTACTGTTGTGGGTGATGTTCTTTGTATGAGCCACGAGCCCACGTGTGTGTACAGAGAGCTGTGCTCAGCTGGCTCAGCAGCACGGGCTGTGACGCCTCCACTGCAGCCAGTGTGTCACACACAAATGCTGTTTAAAGAAGGTGATCTCTAAATGAAGGTGAAAGGGAGGGTCTGCTCTTTGGTTCCAGACCAGAGCCCGGTGATACAGGAGCCCTCCCTCACTTCTTCCTTCTGCCCTGGCCAGAGGAGCCAAGGAGTGTCCTTGTTCGGGGTCATCTCCAGCCAAGCTTTGCCATCACCACCACTCCTCAGCAGTTTCACGCTGTCTTTGAGCTGGACTCTGAGCTGGGTTGCTGCTCTGCAGCCAGAGCTCCTGCCAGCTCAGGAGACGGCCCTGTCCTGCCTCTCTCTTTGATTCCATTCACCTTCTTATCATCACACCTAAGCAATGTGACCACTGGGTTTTGGTTTGGTTTGTTTGAGTTTTTCATTTATCCAACCAACTATCAGTACTGCTGGCACAGAAGCTGGGGCATGCAGTACTCCAGTGGCTGATAAAATCAAACAGTATTTCCTTCTGCCTTATATCTATGCAGGAAAACACGATAAATGGGAGGATTTTGGGAGGCAGGGACAGGACAATAGAGGTGGAGGTGTTGAGGTCTGGGTGGGTACAGCAGGTGCTCTTACAACAAAACACCTCCGTGTGAATAGACCAAACCATCCAGACTGGCTGTTGGGGAAGTCACCTGGCAGATGGACTAAAGCTTTGTGTGCTGAGTTTGATGCACTTTGCAGCAGAAGGATTAAATCAAAAGAGAGAAGCAGTGTTTCTTGCCTCAGGGGAGGCACAGGCTCCCAAAGGGCCCCTTTAAGCTCAGAGCCCCATCTGCAACTGGTGAATGGGCTCTTCCAAAGCGGGAATCTGGAGGTGCTTGTGAGAGTTCCCCTAAGCTGCAGGCTTTGAGTGGGGGCTCAGCAAAGTGCAATCCCAGCCTGGCTTTACTGGAAAATATGACTCAGTTCCCCCTTTTTACATCAAAACCTACCCGAAGGCTTCCTGCTTAATGCAACCCTTAGTCACACTAGTGGCACAGTTGATTTTTCTTGGGAGAAAAGGTAAAAGTCTCTGCACAGCAAGAATGGGAGCGCTGCTCCCCTTCAGGTGACAGGTGGTGGTTTTTGATATTGCCTGTGCATTAAAAACCTGGACACCAGGTTTGCACTGCCCCAGCAGGCATTCCTGCTCTGGGAGGTGGCACTGTCCCCAGGCACACGCTGGGCAGTGATTGATCACCTGGTGTGTGGTTTGTTGCACAGCCTGGTGTTTGCTGGTATCAGGTAAATTCTCTGACCGTTGCGCAGGGTGAGCTGAGGAACAACTTAAAGCCAGGTTTAGTTGTACTTGATTCATAAGTACTCATTTTCTCCCCTAGAAAGCTTAATTCTTTTGGTTTTGTGATTTTCCAGCACTTGTGACTGTTTGTGAGGTTCTGTGCTCTTTCATTTTCCTGGTCCTTCCTCTCAGACCCTGTTCCTGGGAGCAGGGCATGGGGAAGCTGCTGCCAGCCTGCTGCAGTGTCCTGGGGGAGCAGGGGCTTTCCTGTGCAGCTGTGAGAGAACAAACCTCAGTGGAGATGAGCTGGGATTTAGTTAACCAAGGCAATGCTGTCACCTCAATCCGTTCTGTGATGTCAGTGTAATTGTCTATGCCCAGTGGGACAGCGTTCAGAGAGCAGTTCCATCAGCTGCAGGAATGCAGACTTCCATGAGAACCAGCACAGGGCAATGCCTCGAGTCTGACAAGCATCAGAAATCGGTGTGCTCACCCAGCTGGCTGTGCCCAGTGCCACAAGGAGGGGGACAGCCTCCAATGGGACAGGGTGACAGACTCTTCTGATCTGCCCTTGCTCAGCAGCCAGCTCTACTGTTAGGAGCTTGTTTTCCATCTCAGATGAGAAGGAATACTCTCTTTTTTTTTTTTCTTTTTTTTTCTTTTTTTTTTTCCCCTTTATCTTTCTCTAGTTTTCAGTTATGCTGCTTATTTTTCATAACTAAGCCACCAGCACATGGTGTGGCCTCTCTACTTGCTAAGGAGGGAGCTGGTCAGAGCATTTTGGTGCTTCTCTAGAGTTGTGAGTACAGGCTGACAGCTTAATTAATCTTGTTTATTACATGAAAAAGTATACACTCAAATATAAAAGATGATCTCTTCTCACTTGTCCCTTCCTCCCTCAGCCAATGCTACTCCACTGGTGGTGATTCCCTGGAAATCATTCCCTGGACTAGCATTCCCCTCTTTCTGTATTTACAACTCCTGGTTATTTTGTACAGCTGCAGCAGCTTTGTCTTTATCCATGGCAAGTAGCTCCAGCCTGGCCTCCCTGATGGGTGAAGCTCCTCAACACAAGGCACTGATCATTCCCAGCTGGAATGTCCCTTGGACTCAGCATCGCTCTTTTCTGTCACACGGACTTTGAGCCAGTGAAGGAAGTAAAAGCGTCCCTCACCTTCCCTTGGGAAGCACCGCTGGGATGTCCCTGTAGGGGCAATTTGGTGTTTCTAATGAGAACAGAAAGATTGATTTTGCAAAAGCGTTTTTATTGACAAATGTTTTCTCTTCCACGTCCAGACGGATTTTCCACAACAAATACACAGCGTAAACCTGTTCTCAAATTAGTTCATATAGAGACGAGGTACTTACCCAGCTAACCCACCAAAAATCTCAGTGACGTAGGAGTAATCCCCGCCCGATTTGGGGATGGTGACTCCCAGTTCGGCATAACAAAGCGAGCCCAGGGCAGCCACGCCTCCGCCGAGCACCCAAATTACCAGGGCGAGTCCCACCGAGCCGGCGTGCTCCAGAACGCCTTTTGGGGAAATAAAGATCCCAGAACCAATGATATTACCTGGAAAAGGACAACAGGTTTGCAGTGAAGTAAAAGAAACGAACTTTTTATTATTATTATTTATTTAAAAAAAAGGCAAACAAGCCCACAGCCCCTGCTCGGTTTCAGATTTTGCGTGATGGCACTTTATCTGATTACACCCTGGCAAAAGCGTTGCCCTTTATCAGCAATCGGGGATGGCAAGTGCGTGCTCAGCTCTGCTGAAGTACGGTAAGACTCAGGGGAGGATCCCTGAGTTTTGTGGCATGAACTTCCTCAGCTGTCTGCTCTCACCCACCGTGCCCAAGCGTTTTATCAAAAGGAGTTAGAACTGACTTTGTAGTGAAGATTTTTCATCCCCTTCTAAAGGAAATTTGAACAAGTTAATTCCCATTTTCAGGGAGGTTGGGAGGTCAAAAAAAAAAAAAAAGTAGCTTTGTCTGTAATGAGGGGGCCACAAGGTGCACTTGCCACCACGGCAGATTTAAGATTGTGCTTGAAAAAGTCATCTCAAGGTCTGAAATACCAGAAGTCCATTAACATTTTGTACCTGCAATACCTGTGCTGCTTAGTCACCAGCCACAGATTTTAAAGGGGTAATGGGGGGTGAGTGAAACCCTGGACAATAAGACCAGTTGAGACATTGGGAGCTGAGCCAGTGCTGGGTGTAGGAAAGGAGTGTTGGATACCTACACAGGTGCTCTTTTTCCACATGGGGCCAGGGCTGAGGGCACTTGGTTTGTTCAGTCTGGAGGAGAGGAGACTGAGGTCAGATCTCCATTGAAGGAGGTGGTTTTTTGTCAGGTTTGGGATTGTTTTTGAGCAATATCTAAAGAGCACTGTTCCCAAAGGATGTGAAGACCCTGTTGCTGTAGGAATCTACTGACAGGCTTTCCTCTTTTATGAGTTGGTATTAAAATCCTCACTTATAAACTTGACTTTAAAAGCATTTCTTATCAGTGCAGTACACAAATAAAATATTATATAGTTGTTAATGAGGTATTGTCATCTAAAGCAGCCTCTCTGCAGTCTTTGAACCTGCATGTCATCAGATCTGTGCTCTCTTCCTCCCCTTTGCCTTATAAATCCTTTTCATCTCCCAGTGAAAGCTCCCTAAAGACATCCACTTATCCCAAATTTTGCTGTGTTTGGCTTCAGTTTTGTCCTCGTGTTTCTTGAAAGCAGGTGCTGGCAGTGCAGCTCAGGCAGCTGGAGTGCCCTGGCTGTGCCTGTTCATAGCTGTGTGTTTGCAGCACCTGCACTGGAGCAGATACGCTGCTTTGGAGTGGAATTAAGGTAGAAAACAAACAGCTCTGATGGCATAGGTGGCTGCTTTGTGGCCTCTGGAGAGGAGCTGAACCAAAGACAGTAAGCCTGCAAATACACAGCCAATATTTGTAAGGGATTCCTTTTTTGTGTGCACGGGCTGCCTTTTGTTTAATGCCCATGATGCACAGGTAAGGGGAAGCCAGAAATTAATGGCTTAAAGGAGATCCAAGGGTTGAACTCAGGAAAACCTTGTCAGTCTTGGGAGCTTTAGCCATGCAGGGAATGAGTCCCTGGGAAGGACAGAGACCCTCCTGGGACAGGCAGCCATCAGGCACAGAAGCACTTTCTATACATTTAAAAAAAAAAAAAAAATCGGATGAGGGATGTAGATTTATAAAAACTAGATCATACTAGAGTAACAGTAAGATTAAATGTAGTTATTCCTCAGCTGAACTAGCACAGGGAGCCCCAAGCACTGCTACAGCATTAATCCCAGCAGCTTGAGCTGAAGGAATGGGTTTTGATGCAGATGAGTTGCACAGTATTTTTCATAGCACTAATAGATTTGTTCTGGGTCTTCCCTACTGGGAAACTCCACGGCTAGAGTGGAGTGGTGAAATCTTTCAAGGAGATAGATGATTGCTGAAGCATATTTAATACTTTATTATACTTTCTATTTAATAGAATTTATGGGGCTTCTTGGTCATGGTTTCTGCTGCTGGCTGAAGCATTGCAATATATTTAAACAAACAAGCTTTTCTGGAAGACTGCTTATGCCCTGTTCAAGAACTGTAACAAATCTTGGGTTTAAGCTGAAAAAGGAATACCTGCCTTGGGAGTTTAAAAACTGTCTTGACAGTGTTTGGTACTGCTGTGTGCTGTAGTTGTAACAGTTGTACTCATGCATGTGGAGAAAGGGCCTAAGTTATAAAAGACCCTTAAAAATGGTCTGCTAACTGCCAGCAGTACATACCTGTGTGCCTCTATCTTTCAAAAACCAATGTATATGGGAACACTGTGCTTCTGGGAGGAGCCAGTGGTGTTTTGGAAAGCAGGCTGAAGTTCACACATTTTCTTTTTAGCAAAATAGATCTGCAGGGATGGGACAATATTCCCTTCTGGCAGTCCCAGTACTGAACAAACAGGAACTGCCCAAAGGCAGAATAACCCCTAAATGAGTCCCCTGGCTCCTCTTGTGCCATGTCCTCCTGCTCAGTTTGTTCTTTCACCTTAGTTCAGCTCTGCTGCTGCTTTTGGCAGTAGAGGGCATTGCCCATCCTTCAGCAGGCTCTTGGGGAGAGCTTCCACCCCCAAGCTCTGGGTCACCTTTTCCTTGTGTCAGGACGTGCAGGAAGGACACAATCCAAACACAGCACGACATCCCTCAAATTGATAATGGACAGCAAATCCCAGGGGGTGTCTCTGTGCTGTGTGGCGCTGGCAGGGGGACCCCTGAGCTCCACTGTGGGGTGAGCTGATGGCTTTCTGTGACAGGCAGACCTGCCCTGGGCTGGGAAGGGTGGGGAAATGGGGAGAGAAGCATCAGCAGCTCCACGGGAAGCAGTGTGATCAGGCCATGCTGTGCTGGACCCAGGGAAGAGAGAGGGAGTCCTGGTGAGATGAGGTGGCAGCAGTCACCTGGCACAGGGTGTCACAGTGCAGTCTAAATGCACAGGCAGGGAGTTGCTGGTGTGTTTTTTAAATGCTTGCACTTGGCATTGTCAAAGGCCTGAATATCTCTGTGCCTCCAGTTTCTGCCTTTAAGAAGGGGCATGGCTCATCCCTGCCCAGCTGGGTGCTGGGCACTGAGGGGCATCAGCAGTGGGGCTCTTACCCAAACCAAACTGCTCAGAGTGATGGCCTTCTCTGATGGCAAGGCTGCCAAAGCAGTCCTCCTCATCTGTCAGTCTGTCTGAGCTGGAAACAGCAGGACTTCTTTTGTTTAAGGAGAATATTTCTGGGTACATCTAGCTGAAGGAGCAGGACAAGGGCCAGACAGCCTCCTGGATCGTTCTCTCCTACAAATATTCATAGGTCAGGGATGATGTTTTCAGCTTTACTAGTGCTGCTACTCCTGATACTCTCTGCATACATTTTTTTTTTATTTCTAAGATGTGAAGATAGGGGAAAAAATTAATTACTTCTTGTAAAACAGCCACTTTCTCTGCTCCTTCGTGGCCTCTACAAGAGTTTCCTGCTGCAAAACCACCTCTTTGAACCAACAAGAAAGTAATGCTTGAATTTCATGTGTCTGTGTCGTGGGCATATCTTACAAATATAATAAAGAACAGGCTGTCTAGAACTATATAGCCAAAAATGAAACATGGGGAGAGATGGAGCCACATGAAACAGGGCAGGTGAAGTGTGCCAAGGTGGGGAGAGCAGGATGATGAACCCAAATTTGTCTGCTGGCCCAACACTGCTCCCTTGGCACGTGAAAATGTTTCTACCACTACTAATAGTAACAAAACCAATCACTTTCTCAGCCCTGTCATATCCCTAGCCTTAAAAAAAAAAAAAAAAAAATCAGTTTTTTGCAGGACAGAAGCTGTCCACAACAACTGTGTTGTACAGCACCAATGAGCCTTGAAAAGACATCCTGCAGAAATACTGACCACCGGAACAAAACCCTCTTCCTACCCTAATCAGCTGAGAGTTTTCAAGAGGTATTTAAGAGCCTTGAACATTTCTTCCTTTTGGTGTTTTGTTTTGTTTTTTTTTTTTCCTTTTTTAGTTACCCCTCCCCTCTTTCCTATTTTTCCAGGATGTGAAAAGAGCTCTCAACATTCTTCAAAAAAACCCCAAAACAACCCAAACCAAAACGTGACACTGGATAAGATCTCAGAAGTGATATACTTCAGGCTATTTTACTTGCCTTCTGTGTTTTGTAAATTTAGACTTCAGATTTAGACAGTTTTCTAAAATGACTCATGAGGGTTAGGAACCCAAATTTTAAACAAAAGCTGGAGTTCTCAGGGTATTGTTATACCACTTACTCCGTGCTATTGTGAAAAGGAGGAAAAAAGGCAACAAACACCTACAAACAAGAGATGACAGATACTGTGCTTTGCATGGGAAAGAGTGCATATGGCAGCAACAGCATGGATAAAAAATCCTATCATATAGGAATTTATATTCTTTAATTGTTTTTAATACTGAGCACATCTTTGCCCAGCTGCACTTGGTGTGTGGCTGTGACCCCATGAGCCTGTGGGTGCCCTGGAGGTCAGACAGACCCAAATCAGCTGCTGGAATCGGGCACTGACCTGGGTGTGACGTGGGCTCAGTCTCTCCTGTGAGCCTTGCTCCGGCTCTGCCTCAGTGGAAGTGGGTCCCACACCTGTTTTTGGCTGAAGGGAATGCCAAATCCCCACCCTTTCAAACCTCCAGCCCTTTATCTAATCGTGTTCAGGATCTCCTGTGACCCGGGCTGGGTTTCCCACACACCCAGCATGCAGATTTGCTCTGAGATCAGCACCTCATGTAGAGCTAAAACACTGGGGAAATGTGGCACTGACCTGAATGATGGGACATGGGGTTTGCTGAAAAACCCAGTGCTTTCAGTTTGGCCCTGGCTTTTAAACTATGAGGGTGTGTTTGGAGTCAGGTTTTGATGTTTCTCAATGTAACTGTGAGACTTGAAACTCGTCTTTTAAACTAAAGCTGAATTCTCATCAAAACACTTTAAGAACTGCATTTTGAAGGAAAACAGTAAATATCACTGTGCTTGTGAGAAAATAAAGGGAC